TTGCTTCATAGAAATTAAGACAGTAATGTAAATCTCTGTCTCGTGGGTCATCCCCATGCAGCTCCTACAAATTAAGAGTTGTTCATCTCCTGCACCAACTCTCTTGGTGAAACCACAGAGAGAAACCTCTGCAGTAAGTTTACAGGCCCAGGTCTACTGGAGGAATTGAGTTTATCATAGAAAGTCTGTGAAAAGTAATTTTTGTTTTGGATCAAAAATTATTATTCTCAACTCACATAGACTTACAGTTTTATTTAAAGTCCTAAATATAGGTTTCTGGATTTTAAGAACTGAAAAGGCACATACCACCTAATATTTTATCATTTTTGTTTGAGCAGGTTATAAGATAATTTCTGGATATTCAGTGATGATATTTGTCTTTTAAATTAACGTAAGAAATATATCTTAGACATTTTACTTTATTTTACAAAAGCAAGTAATAACCCTATGGACAAAAGATATTTTTCAAGTTTAGTTTTAAAATTTCTAACCACTTCATCTAGGAATAGTGCTTATCCTTACTCAAAGATGCCCAGTTCTTTGTGGGTTCAAGGTTGTTTTTTTTCTAGCTGTAGTGATAGTACTGTTTGCATCTCCCTTTGTTATTTCCTGTCTAGGTCCAACTCTTTTTCATTAAGGATTTCTGCAGAAGCTATGGGCAAATTCCCTGCCTCCAGACACCCTTAGAGGCTGATGAGCCACGCCTTTATCTGGCTCTTGTAATAGATTGCAAAAAGCACTTGTTCATCGGATATTTTCTTCTTCTTTTTATTTGTAGATTTAGAAGTATTTTAGCAGGTGTACATTTGCATATAAAAGAGAATAAAAGATAACTTAGGCTTTTTCTTTCTCCTTTCTTCAACATCATCTCTCTCCTACCTCTCTCTATTCATCAGGTTTTCACTTTCTTTCTCTAGCTGTTTCTATTTTCTAGACACAAAATATATATCAAAAAGGGAAAAAATAGTCTTAGTGATCCTTCAGCACTGTGCAGGAAGGTGGAAGATTGGGTTCAGTCAGCTTATGTAACAAAGTAGGGACAATATGTTTATCTTATTGTGTCATCAGTCTGGAATAGACAAGGATAGATTTTAATCTCCTGGAGTTGGATACTACAAAGGATGGGACCCATTGCCATGTTTTATGATTGAAACTGCTATATTTTCCACTTTCTAAACTCAATCTTGACACAGATTCAAGTATATAATAGATGCTTGACTGAGATTCAGAACTTCAAGCTTGAGCACGTATGTGTATTTGTTTCTGTGTATATGAGAACATTCCAACTGAAAATAATTGAATCCTTTAGAAATGTCTGTTTTATCTCATTATTTTCACTACTCAATAGTTTTTGAGAGTTTAATATTATTGTTGGGAGGAAATATTTCTCTGGAATTCTAAGTCACAGGCTAGGAAGTGAAGCCTTTAATGATCACTCTGTTCTCAAATTTTCAGACTCAGGTTTACTTGTGGCTCATGTGTCTTTTACATCATGAAGTTGACATCCTGGCTGTTTGCGGAGAATGTCTGAATTGCTTGAAAACCCCTAGCAAAAAGTATTCTCTTCAATCCAAAGAGTCTGTAACCTGGTCCATTTAATACAGATAGCTACTTAAAAATCTTCATACAACTGATGCAGCCTCCCTTGATAATGTTCCAGGGTTTCAACCCTTTCAACAAAAAGCTTTTTTCAGCATCTAGCTTGGTATCCTTTGGCTGCAGTTTCCCTAAGTGTTCTTGTGCCACTTTTAGTAAACATAAAAATTATTTACTAACATCTAGTTTCTAGGTTGCAAATGTGTTTCATTTAGCTTGTGCAGTGTTTCATGTAAAGAAAAAAGAAAAGGCACAAGTCCGGCAAGACTAGGTCCACTTTCCCACCTGGCAGCAATAGGCTATAGCCAGGGAACAGCTGTCCCTGTGGACAGGGGTATGCCCTCCAGCCTGCTACAGGGCTTTCCTTTTTCATTGTGTCTACCTGGACAGAGTGACTTCTTTGTGTACTTTCTTGGCCCTAAAAGGTATCTGCAATCATAATACCCATCCTGTCTACTCCATTTACAATATCTGTCTTTAAGCTCCCTCCCTTACCCTACTTTGTTTCTATGCACACTGCGTATCCTTTAACTTATGATTTTTTAAAATCAAACCCTATTAATTTTGTTTTTCTTCTTTGGATCATCTCCTAATCCTTCTATGACTAAAATAAAATAGTTATCCATAGGGAAAACTATTTCAGTTCTGATACATCTGACTCTTCAATCAGAATGTCCTGTTCCTGTGCTGGTTTGTGTCTCTGGTCCTGCCTCAATTCCTGTTAATTCCTCCAAGTGTTTGCACTTCATTTTTGTTCCTTGTAAACTTCACTTTGTCCTTAAATCATCAAAAGAAGCATGCACTGAGCAGGTAGTAAGCGACATGTCCAGCAGTCCTCAGCCTGATTTTATCAACGTTTTACTCAGGTCAGGGCCACTACATCCTAGATAAAAATTGATTTTCTCCAGGCAACTATCAATGACTCTATGATTGGAGAAGGGCTACAGAAGGCTTATAGATGCAATTCTGGAGAATCCTGGTTAGGAAAGGGTAGTCCTGGTGGGATGCGATAGGAGAATGAGCCATCTCCCTCCAAGTCTATAGGTCAGCAGAAAGCAGACTTGGGCAGCCTTGAGGGAAAAGCCTGATCACTGGGCCTGAGTCCTTCAAATAGGAAAGGAAAGAGACCAGATAGAAAGTGTGGGGAAAATGAAAAGGGCCCATCATTTTCAGAGTGTTGTTTAAAGTCAATTCACTTTACACTGATAATTTTCTCTCTTCTCGACATTAGCATTATCTTATGTTTGGGCAAAATGCTTAATTCCCCCAAATCTGAAATTATTTCATAAGCCTGACATTTCTCCCAGAAATCCTCTTCCGAAAGTCGGTGACACAGTTTTTACCAGTTTCTGAAAAGCAGGAGAGAGTCTCCCTGGAGTCAAATGATTTTTACCTTGAAACAGTAGATAGGAATTGCAAACCCTGGTCTACTTCTGGGGGCCAGTAACCAGGATCTTTTTTTTTTTTTTTTGAAACAGCTACTTCCCTTTTTATTCTTTTTTATTTTTTAGTTGTAGTTGGACACAATGTCTTTATTTTATTTATTTATTTTTATGTGGTGCTGAGGATCAAACCCAGGGTCTTGCACAGGCTAGACAAGTGTTCTACCACTGAGCCACAACCCCAGCCCCTCTTTTTTTTTTTTTTTTTTTTTAGTTTCAATTTTTGCTGTCTTTCTTTTTTATTTTTTTTATATTTATTTTTTAGTTTTTTTTTTTTTTAAGGTGGACACCATATCTTTATTTTACATTTATGTGGTGTTGAGGATTGAACCCAGTGCCTCGTGCATGCTAGGCGAGCACTCTACCACTGAGCCACAACCCCAGCCCCTCTCTTTTTTTAATTAAATAAATTTAATTGAATGTTGTAATAGCTTGTGGTTATTAAGATCTGGACTGGTTTCCTAAGAGCTGAAAAATATATATATATATATGTATGTATATTCTTTACCTTTAAGTTCAGACATTCTAATTTTTCCTCCCCAAATCACTTAACAACACATTGGCAATAGTATGGATGTTAGGATCAATTGAATAGTGTTGCAGAGCCGTCCTATTGGAGCCATACTTCCACCAGTAAATACTTTCTACCCTAGGCCACACTCACTATATTTTTCCCTAGATCTCATTATTTCCTTATTTTAAAGTTTTCAAAATATTAGTTCCATCACATCAAATTTATTTCACAATCCAGTAAACTAAAAAAGTGTTGCCTTAGGATTTCTTTTCTTCAGAGTTAAGAGTATCAGATCCATAAGTATTTTAATTATACAACATTTAGTATTCCCAAGTATGGTGCTCATTTTAAAGACTCATTTTTTAATTTGATTCTCAGTAAAGCATACTTTATTCTTCAGTGTAATAGTTTTTATTTAGTAATAAAGAAGTAGCACTTAAGTTCTTAAATTGAGCCAGCAAAAGCAGGAATACAACTGATTCCTGACACTGTCAGCAGTTGCCCTATTGAAGATGTGGACAAGGATGCTGTTTGTCTTATCTGTGCTAAAACTCTTGATTCTTCAGTTTCCATTTCATCCAGATGTCCTCAAGACGTAAGGTAATGGGAAAGGTTATAACACTCAGGTCCTTTTCATAATTTTTGATTACTGTTTTTCCCAAAAACCTTCAATGTAACTTGTAGCAAATGCCATTAGAAACCCTGCATGGCCAAGGGCATCCTGAACCTGAGCCAGGTCTAGGCTGCTGCTGACCCTCTGGGCATCTGGCTTTACTCTCTTCAGATACCTTCCCTCTTCGACCCCATGGGGTTAAATCCTCAATTGTGGGACTCTGAACTTACCCTTCTGTCACTGTCCTTCCTCCCCTCTCACCACTCACCCAGCCCTCTCCCAGAACTTCCCAGCTTCAGTGTAAGAACCTGAGACTTGGAGCAGGGAGCATTCCTAGTGACCTGATCACCTAGGAAGTCAGTACTGTTTCTTCAAGTTCATTCCTGGGGGATGCTTCTGCAAGGTCTGGATGCAAGATATCTATTGTACTATGATGTTGAGCCTATCCACAGACCTGCTCCCCTAATAACGGGCATTTGCTGCCTCATATGTTCTCTTAAAACTCATCTTTGAGTCTTAAAACCTGGATTCAACTAAATTGTGTTTTTTGTTGTTGTTAGAGTTTCTAAAAAGATGACAGTTCAAAAAAAAGTCATTTTTACGCATTTGAAATATTAACATTATAGGAAACATTTAAGAAACCTCTCGGGGGGGCTGGGGTTGTGGCTCAGTGGTAGAGCATTTGCCTAGTATGTGTGAGGCACTGGGTTCGGTTCTCAGCACCACATATAAAAAAATGAATAAAATAAAGGTCTATTAACTACTTAAAAATATTTTTTAAAAAAAGAAACCTCTCTGGAGAGTAGAAAATTTAGTATTTGTGTGCTTTTTATAGAAACAAAAGCCTACAAGTTGCTGAAGAAGTCTACCCTTCAGGATAATACAAACCAAATTGAAGACAGATTTCCAAAGGCACATGCTTCTACATCACAATTTTCAGGTAAATAAGGGCAAATTTAGCATTCAAAGCCAGTATCCAGAGGCCTAGGCAGCAACCAGTACTGGGTTGAGGGAAAGGTGGTCATTCTTTGAAGGTTTCTGGAACTTGCTTTGTAACAGTTTGTCACTGGATCAAAATGAATAAGCACTTTTTCATCTTAGGGAAGTAGTCATTTGGAAGTCCTTCCTTCTGGATGTGCACTGACCCAGCATGGAAGTTTCCCCTACAGACCTTGGATTCTGCCTGCCATGTAGCTTGTCACTAAACACCAGAGGAGATGCCCCAAATTCCTTCTCTTTTCTACATCTCCTAGTTCTTTAATCATCAAATGGGCAGAGTTGTTCTGGGCTGCCCTTACTAGAATATTTGAAGTTTTTGAGTTCTTTTAACAAAAAGACTAAAAATCTTGCTCCAAGCATGACAGCTGCTTAGCAGAAACACATAATCGGGAAGGTGACTCCACAAATATTTTTGGTAAGCATCTTTTGGTACCTAACTGTACAGGTGCAAAAAATGAGTAAATTTGGCATAAGTTGTAGTCCCTTGGATATGTATAAAAAGAGTATGGTACTATTATTAATGTATTTATAAGTAAAATGATACTTTATAAATTGTATAATCAAACATCTTGAGATTCAAGTCCCTCACTTCGTAGCCCAAATTATATTGTATACTTTGTAAGACTCCAAACATTCCAGGTAGAATCACACAAATGCAGCCAGATGTCTATTAATCCCAGCAGTTTGGGAGGTTGAGGCAGGAAGATTACAATTTTGAGGTCAACCTCTACAACTTAGACTCTCAGCAACTGAGTAAGACCCTGTCCCAAAATAAAAAATAGAAATGGTTGGAGCTAGGTCGTAAAATAACAATGGGATCAATTTCCAGTGTGTATGGAAGAAGAGAGAAAGGAAGGAAGGTGGGTGGGCAGGCACAAGTGCTTCTGGTGGCGTTGGCCTTCGTTATACTTAGATAGGGCCTCTGGTTTTCATTTCTACATGTGGTCAGGAACTATCTTTTTACCCCTTCTCTCCCTCTGATCCTGGGACCTTTTTGAGTTCCAATGGGAAACAGAAGGCCAGTTGGAAGGGTAAAGGGAAACTTCACAGCACTGTTTATAGGTAGTGGTATAAATGTGCTTTGAACATAGATCTTACCTCCAAATCTAACTGTGAAGAAGCAGTTCATTTTTCAGTTACTTTCTGAATCAGATATTTTAGGTCTCTGTCCCTGGACCTGTCACTACGGAAAGCCACTTAAACCTGGAGCCTCAGTTTTCATTTCTAAAAGTCCTTCTCCTGCTAATCATGTTGGAGACTCTGTTGAGCCTTAGTGTGAACACATGGTTCAGAGAAATGCTTTGCTGCTGAGGTTACAAGAAGGCAAACAGGTTACAGATTAGAAACTCAGTAAATCCTTTGCTAAGATGCCCATGCACTATCTGAGATCTTAGGTGACTACCAACTAAGAACCAGATGTAGCAGAAATATCCAAGGCTGAAAGCACCCAGGAAGCAGTGATCAGAGAAGCTGGGAGCAGTGGATACAGTTCAGTTTCTTCAGCCCTAGGCAAAGAGGTGGATTGTGTATCTTCTTCCTCCACCTTTTCAGGCTGGGAAGAGTGGCATTGATGGTTTTTCAGTGCAGATTTATTCTCCTCTGTGGGGTGAAAAATAGAGGATTTGGCAGAGGGGCTTAAAAGTGAATGGGGTAGGTAACTATCACCAGGAGTGTCGATTATTTCTGAGCCCCAGCTTCCAGCACCTGATACTTTGGTGAGTTGTCGCTGCCTGTTTGTCATAACAATTTGAATTATCCAATACTCCATCCCATAGTCGAGACTTATGTGCTTATATCAACATGTATCTTTGTCATTTAAAATAGGGTTCTTTGGGTGGTTTAATTTTTTACGTTTTTACATTTTGTGGCTTCTGTTTGAGTGTCACAAGGAAACCCCCTCATTTCTTTTCAGTATGTTAGCAACATTTCAGTCTGCCTCAGAAGCTCCCATGACTTCTTTGGCTTGAACAACATCTTTCTCTGTTGGTGTTTGTTTTACCAAAGTTAGTGGGAGGCCGCTCATCATTCATTTGTTCCGTTGCTGCACAGAAGCTAAGGCTTGCTCTCCATGTTTTGTGCTTACCACAGGTTTGAATATTGGCAGCAGTACACTCAAGACAAAGACAACTCACAAAATCCCTTCGGAAGCTAGTTTTTCATCTAGCGAAGGAAGTCCTTTGTCAAGGTAAAGTCGTGAAAGCCTCTTTGAATAGCAGCAACAAGATGAGAAATGTCACCATACAATGAATTAAACTCTGGCCACATATTATTTTGTTGTGTGACTTGATGGAGGGTGATGGTTTGGGTTTTTGTTTATCTAAAATAACAGTTGAAACTTTAGTCTACCTTTGAAAATATTTGCACCAGAGCCAAGTATTGTTTTGCAGCTGTTGTTTCCTTGGTTTAAGACTCAATTGACACCTCAGTGAACCACAAATTAGCGTCTACAGCTGCTCTCAGTAGGACTGCTTAGAGACCACACAATGGAGTTTGTCAGAAAAAGGGCAGAGAGAAAACATCAGGCCTTAAAAGAAATAAAGTGGCATTTTTCTTCTTTCTGAGACCACTGATACATAACCTAGCAAATGTTGGATATTAGGTTTTGTATTCTTCTTTTATGTCAAGTATTTAGGCTACAGTACTCTTTCCTTTTCTGGCACTTTCTTATTTTACTTAAAGAACACAATTTTTTTTTCTCACATTTGTTAAACAGTGAAACTTCTTGTGTAAATTTTTGAACTACAATAAGTGAGTCGTATGCTGAATTTGTCATCAGGATAAAATACTAATCATTCAGTGGCTTCAAGTCTTAAAAAGAATTTATAGATGGGAATGTAAGCAACTATCTGTTGAAATGCCTACCCTTTTGCTTTGGGCTAAATATCATTTAAAACAGCATAGCAAGTTTCTTTTGTAATAAAAAAGATGTCCTTTAGATGATTGCGTTACATTTGAATTTACTACTTGACCCTGGTGAAGTTCTAAAACAGGAACATTTCTAATGTTATGTCCCATAATATAAAATGATCTGCTCCAGAAATGTCCTATTAAAATGAACTGAAAATGAAAATGAAAAGAATCTTGCTTTCATTTATATTTTGTAAAAAACATTATAATATTTTAGGACTTGGAATATAATAAAATGAGGTAGGTTTTCTAAAAGTCTTGCCTTTTAAACTTGACAAGCATCCAGATTGCTCATTTAATTATCAGAAATTATTGTCTTTATATTCAAGTTTTTATCCATATTGTTAAAGAAAGTGGGAGATAACTGGGTCAGGTAGTCTTAAAGTATTATATTATTATGATTATATCATAAATTCAAGTTGTTAAAGGACAATAAATTTACAGATAGTTTTCAGGGTTTAATGTTACAGTTTGGCTTAATAATACACCTCCATAGTTTTAAGATTATTAGAAGTATTTTTCTTCATTACATTTTTTTAGATATACGTATATATATATATAATTTTTATTAATATTACTTTGTATTTTTCCTCACAATTTTTTAACTAGGTATCATTATTTTTAACATGAATATAGAAGCAATGCAAAGAGATCCACCTTTTTAAATGATATTTTTTGACCACATAGAATTTGCATATCATTTAGGGAAACTTAATATCTTAATGACACTGAAATTACCAAGAACATGAGATTGCTATTCCTTTATTTAAGTCTATATTGGTGATTTTCAGAGTCATTTTTCCTCAGATAGGTTTGGTACATATATATATATTTTCTCCATTACATTTTGAAGACACGAAAACAATTCTTTTTAAACTTACTTTATATATGATCTCTGGGTAGTTTTTAATACATTCAAAAGCAATTGGGTTTTGCAGAACATTTTATCAGCTTGAAAATTTCACATCATGTCTATATTTCACCAACTAAAATTGAACTTTTTTGTTCCTCAAATTAAGTCAGGGACCTTTTCTTATTACTATTGCTTCTTTATGAAAATGAATTACAAGTAATCTTATGACCTTTAAGGAAAAAAAAAAAAACTCAAAAAGATCTTCAAGGAACCCTTGGTTTTAGACACTTGATAAGAATCTAGTGATGAAAAGACCTGGCCATCGAGTGCCTGGGTTTGGTGTGCTGTTTGTCACAGTTTGGTTCTTGTGCAGGGTTTGGTATTGTTAATACCCCACCCTGAGCTTTGGAGAGCTGTGGTTTTGCTGTTTGTGCCTGGCTTCACTGAAATTTCTTAGAGGCTTACATTTAAGGATCCCACTTACTGCAGTCACTCCTTGTGCTTTATTGCTTTTACAAGTGGTCTCGAAACCCAGTACTTGAGAATAAACATAACAGTGCAGCGCTGCTGTAGCACTTTTAAAAATTCTTCTTTGCTCTATTTTGTCAGTGAGCTGATGAGCGACCTCAAAAAAAAAAAAAAAAAAAGAAGACCCCGCTGGACCTAAAAAAAAAAAATGGCTTCCTCTGATGTCCTAGAGACAATAATTATGATGTGCTAGTTAAGCCCAAACTACAGCTGAGGGATTTTACTTTAAAGCAGCGGCTTGGGCGCAAAAATGCATTTATAGCTCTTTGTCTGCACCTCATTATGTGTGGGCCTGATTCATTAAGTAATTGGTTTGCAGTTGTTTACATGAGTATTAAGGCCTTCTTTTCAGCCGCCTTTGAGAGATACATTGTGCAAATGTTGCCTGTGATGAATGCAGAATGAAGGCCAGAGGGTCCGTCCTATTGGCTAAACAGTGCACTCTGTTGAAAAGCCAGAGAAAGGGATTGGGTGCTGCTTTGCATAGCAATGACTTTCTTAATAAGCGTTATAGATTAATACACACAAGCTATAAAAGATGCAAAGAGATACTCTTAGCACATTTATACATGCTCATTTCATTGTGATGGTGGTGGGGTCTGGGTGCTTTCATATTCCGTTTTTCAGAGCAACGGCTTCAGTGCATGAGCCGTAATAGAATCCGATGTTTATTGTATTATAAATCACGGGCAAGTAGGCAGATCGGCAACAGTTTATTATTAAAGATTCTTTCAGTGTAAATCTTTTTCTACCATTGTATTTGCTTTAGCAAAATCATTTTGTGGTTGAGTGGGGATGAAAGGCATAATGTACGAAGGAGTGAGTCCTAATAGGAAGCTGTTCTCCAAGTAAAGACCACTTGTTCCCTTTTGTTCAGGGGTGCATGCCAGAGCTTCCTCTCTTCTGCAAACATTGTCTCGCTTTACCTTCCCCAGGAAGCCGTTTTCACTCTCCCTGATCCATTTATTCAATGGAGAGTATATCTTAAACGCCTGCCTTGTAACTTCAGCTTACTGGTTCCTGCCTTGTAACTTCAGCTTACTGGTTGGTTGTAGATGCCAGGTTTTGCCAAAAGAACCAAGGGGTGTGTGCTTGCAACATAATTTCCTGGAGGAGAGGTAGCAGAAGTCACCCAGCCAATGCACACTGATAGGGCCGCTGTGGGTGGCATTACGTGCCAGCCATGCAGCAATAGGAGCGACCAGTGGGGGGCGCCAGCCTGCTGCTGATGCTCTGATGGGGGCCCTGGATTCCTTTTGCCTGGTCACTGTGCTGTTTTCCCTGGGATATTATAAAGATTACAAAGAACCAAATTGTCCAGTGAAATAAAAATGAGTTTTTCCTGGAAGTTCTTTAGTTTATCTTATAAAAGTGCCCATCTCCATCTCTGGCTTAGCAAATCTGTACTCTCTTTAAATTCTACTGAATTAGCAGCTTCCAAAATATTTCACATTTCTTATCATAAGCCCATCCATATACTTTGATTTTTTTTAATACACAGAGCAGTTCTGTAATATGAACAGTACAGTCATTATTTGAAGGGAAGAAGTTAACAAGTTGTCCCCAGGCAGCTGAAAAATGGTATCTGTTGTAGGATCCTCAATTAACCATCAGGGGGCACTCAGACTTTGTCAAATCAAAACAGCCTCCAATTTGAATGGATCTTTAAAACTTAAAATTAGTATTTACAGATTTATTGGCTTTGTCATTGGACTTTTTTCTTTCTGGATTATTTTTTTCTATCTTTTTAGAAACCTATGTCTGCTTTAGGAAAATTCCAACTAAAGATTCTATTAAAGGAATTTAATATTGATTTCAGCTAGCAGTCAAAATCATAAAATTTTTAGAATTCAAAACCTAGAGACCACAACTTTAGTTAATTATTTTCAATCATCATTATACGAAGTCCCTAGAACTAGAAGGACACTACTTGGAGCCAGTCCTTGTCCCCAGCACCAAACTACAGACTGTGCTCTTAGCAGAACCCCTCAATTTCATCTCCAAATTCAACTGACATGTCCTCAAAGTGACAGTAATTTGGATATGTTTGTTAATAGACTTTGGATATATTTTTCTGATACCAAAAAAAAAAAAGAGAGATACGGTCCATGCAGTTGAGAGTCAATGTGTTATTGACAGGACATCCCCAAGATATGCTGTTCTCCAAATTTCTCCTCTCCTGAGAGCCAGGAACAAGAATCTGAGTCCCCAACCCAATATCTTCACCTCTGTTGCTGCCTATCTTTCAGAAGGCCCTTGTCACCTACACCCCCTCTAGCACAGAGGAGCTATACACAGTGTGCCCTTGCCAGCCTATCTCCTATGTCCCCTGCTCCCAGAATATGCTTCACAGCACCAGGCTGTGTGTCATACCCTGAAACAACATGCTGTTCCATGTCCATATATTTTATACTTGTTCTCTTGCTGGAATGCTCTTCACCTGGTTTCGTTCAACCTTCTTAAAGTTTCCTGAGCAAAGGATCTGGCTGTACAGGATGCCCCTCCTGTGGCCCCTGGGGCTGTTCCTATCATAATCTAACACAGGCATCTTCTACTCCCTACGCCCTGTGTAAGCTTTCCTTTGGGGTGGCAGGTTTCTGAATCTCAAGCACTGAATAATAGTTGAATTTCCTGAGTGAGTGAGCATCAATATAGAGTTTCACCATTTACTGAAGTGTTATTTCTTACAAGAGTCAATAATACAAGTGCCCTCATCTCCATATGGCATCACATATAGAGATATATGGAGTCATGTATGCTATAGTTATCTGCACGTGTAGAATATGTGTACGTGTGTGTGTGTGTGTGTGTGTACACATGTTCAAAGAGAAATATCATGGTCAGTTTTGACTTGGCTCTCTCTGCTCTGCATTACATTTTCACAGTTTCAGGAAGCA